AATGAAAGCATTTTGCAGGTACCATGCAAATATGGCTGTTTTTTCTTCAACAAAATTATGGGTTTATTTTAAAAGTAGTGTGTAGTAGCAGTACAAGAAGACGCAGAAGTCCTGATTAGCTAGCACTGTTGGAGATGTATTTGAAATCTGGTAGTGCCATAGGTTGGCTGTGCCCCATGTTCACGTGCATCAGGTGGTGAACAGTTAGTTGCACGTAGAGGACCTTACACTATGGAATTATATATGGAACTATACACTATGGAATTCATGTTAACAGTAATTCCCACTTTGTGGATTATGAGCCTGCTAAACTTTTGTCATCTTACTGGTAATGGTATTTATGGATTAGTTTTGAGTCAATCACTGCTGTCTCATTTGCAACATTTTGTCCAATCCAGATAGTATAAAATTATGTAAAAGAACAGCATAATCTCACTTCCAAATAAGTTTATCTTTGTTCCCTGTTTTGCATTTTATTTTACTGGTGCTTTGTCCCTGTTAAAATTACTTTGGAAGCAATGGCTTAGAGCAATGAATCTCAACTCTGGTTGCTAGTAAAATCAACTGGGGACTTATGTTAAAAAATAAACAAATGCTATAAATAAAATAGTTATCCAGGCCATAGCTACAAAAATTTCGAGTTCCCCTGTGTGGAGTGGGCTCAAGCATTCTTGCCTTGTGAAGCTCCCAAGTGATTTTAGTGCTCCTCTGATTGAGAACCACCACTGGCTTAAGGTTTAGAATTTAGCAGTAGCATTGTTTTCTCAGTCTTATGTGGAACCTCAATTAAAAAAAAAAAAAAGCATTTAATCGGTATGGGTTTGTAAGTTTGAATTTACAGTATTGATAAAGGCAATTCGTGAGAATGATTTACATGAATTTTTTTTTTTTTTTTTTGTCTTTTTCCGTGTCCGGCAACGGATCGCAACCCTCAGTGTTGCCCCTGTACCGGACCGGGGACCGGCAACGGGATCGCAACCCTCAGTGTTGCTCCTGCGCCTCGCTCAGCCAGTGAGCGGGAACCTGTCTGTATGTGGGATCCGAACCCTCGGGCGGGAGCGCCGCCGCGCTTCCCAAGCGGCGCACTATCCAGTGCGCCACCGGGCCGGCCCTACATGAATTTTCAAAACAAAAAATTATACTATATACAGATGGTCTCTGACTTACAGTGGTTCAGCTTAAGATTTTTTGGCTTTACAGTGGTTTACTGGGGTAGATGCATTTTTAACTATGATATTTTCAACTTAACGATGGGTTTATCAGGACGTAGCCCCATTGTAAGTTGAGGAGCATCAGTATTCTTTTTGTCCATTAAAGAAAAAAAAACATGGCTGGGAAAGATACAGTCCCACTCTAGAATAGTTATTAATTGCAATAGGCGTAGCCCCATTGTAAGTTGAGGAGCATCAGTATTCTTTTTGTCCATTAAAAAAAAAAAAAACATGGCTGGGAAAGATACAGTCCCACTCTAGAATAGTTATTAATTGCAATAGGAAGGATAGTGAGAAGGGCTTTATTGTTTTTCTTAAAAAAATCTGATGTCAGTAGTACTTCATGTTACATCTCTTTTAAATCCAGGACAATTGCCTGTTAAATTAACTATACTTTTCTGTATGTTTGAAATAGGTCAGAACTAAAAATAAAAGTTAAAATTAATTGGGCTGATTAATGAACAAAATGTTTGAAAATTGGGATATATACATGGCACTTGAGTTCTTACATCGGCCTCAGCATCCAAGTTATTTCCAAATTTTGTTCTGGTTGCACATAAGGTGAACATTCTCATAAACACAGTTAATCAGCTTAAGAGTAGGCTTTCCCCCCCCCTTTTTTTTTCTTTTTAACAGTTCATGTATTTATTTATTTTCAATTTTTTTATTTTTTATTTTATCACTATACGGTGTAGTTGATTTTCATGTCCCTTTACCAGTTCCTTCTTTTTCCCCCTCTCCACCCATCACCATCATATCAAACAGTTCATCTATTTAAAAAAAATCTCTGGGTACTCTTCAAATAAACAGCTGTCAAAAAGCTTTATTCTGTTGTGCACAAAAATGAGCTAACTTGTTAGCAGAAGTTAATGTGTTGACAATATCCAGTGTGTTAATTTGGTATTGAAACACATGCTTTTTTTCTTGTTGCTTTTTAAAAAATTTTTTAACCATTTTTAAGTTTATATAGTTCAGTGACATTAAATATATTCTCAGTGTCGTGCAATCATCACCACTATCCATTTGTAGAACTTTTTCATCATCTCAAGTAGAAACTCTGTACCCATTAAACAGTAACTCCACAATCCCCTTAACTCCCAGGCTCTGGTAACTTCTATTTTACTTTTTGTCTCTATGCATTTTCCTGGTCTAGGTACTTTATAAAAGTGGATATTTGTTCTTTTGTGTCTGTTTATTTCACTTAATGTTTTCAGGGTTTATCCATATTGTAGCATGTTTCAGAAACTCATTCCTTTTTAATGCTGAATGATATTCCATATGGATATTTCGCATTTTGTTTATCCATTTATCTGTTGATGGACATTTGAGTTGTTTCCACCTTTTTGCTGTTGTGAATAATGCTGCCATGAATATTGGTGTACAAATATCTGTTTGAATCCCTACTTTGATTTCTTTTGGGTATACATCTAGAAGTAGAGTTGCTGGGTCATATAGTAATTCTATGTTTAACTTTTTCAGGAACTATCAAACTGTTTTCCACAACAGCTGTACCATTTTACAGTCCTACCAGCGATGCTCCAATTTCTTCATGTTCTCACCAACATGTGTTATTTTCTGTTCTTTTGATAATAGCTATCCTTATGTGTGCAAAGTGGTATTGTGGTTCTCATTTGTATTTCCCTAATGGTTACTGGTGTTGAACATCATTTCATGTACTTTTTTGGCCATTTGTATATCTTCGGATAAATGCCTATTTTAGTCCTTTGCCCATTTTTGGATTGTGTTGTTTTATTGTTGATGAGGTAGTTCTGTATATATTCTGGATATTAATCCCTTATCAGATACATATGCAAATCTCATTCTATGACTTGTCTTCACTCTCTTGATAGTATCCTTTGATGCACAAAAGTTTTTAACTTTGATGAAGTATTATTAATCTATTTTTTTCTTTTGTTGCCTATGCTTTTGGTGTCATATCTAAGAAATCATTTCCAAATCCAGTGTCATAAAGCTTTTCCCCTATGTTTTCTTCTGAGAGTTTTATAGTTCTCCCTTGTATGTTTAAATCTTTGATCCACTTTGGGTTAATTTTGCGTGTGGTGTGAGGTAAGGGTCCCGCTTCATTATTTTGCTTGTGGATGTCCGGTTTTCCCAGCATCATCTGTTGAACATACTTTTTAAAATACAGTTGTGTTTTGTTTAGTTTAAAATCTATTTGAAAAATAGATTTCAAAACAAACCTGTGGAACCCTAGCCTTCTAAGGTACTTTGCATAGGAGATTTCTGGTTTTAAAGATTAACTCATAAAAAAGCAGGCCCTCTTTCTGCTTAGGACTTAAAAAACAAAAATACAAGTGTGTTTAGGTTAATAAACCACCAGAAATGCTATGCAAATAGTTTTGACTAGGCAAAGAGTAAAGTGAAACCAGATTGGAAGGAAAACATTTTGTAGAAGGAGAGAATTATAAATAGCATCTGGAATACGTTTATTTGTTCAGGATTATACCCTGGATTGTGTTAATAGGTTTTTTAACCTAAAGTTTTTTATTCATTTAATTTTATTTTAATTAAAGCTTGTAACATTGATTCAGTGTGGATGAGATCTATCTGATAAAAATAAGGATCTGCACAGCAGATAAAATCTTGGAGAGTCCTGCACCTTGCCTGTTTAGCAATTTCAGCCATGGGTTCCTCCTGTTAGATAATTCTAATTTTGGAAATAAGATTTTACAAATTCTTTGACAAAAGAGAAGCAATAATGTGAAGAAAAGTGCAGCTCTCTTGCCATGTTTTGGGAAAGTTTGCTGTTACTGAGCTTATCTAGTTTCTCATATCACAACAACTCAATATAAAATCCATGTTATCAGCCCACAGAGAGAAGATCCCTGTCCCTCTTTAATCCCATCCCTGGCTAGAGGACTGTAAATGAATCTTGTTGCAAAGATAGAATCTCTGCCTTTGTAGAGGAGACTTTATTAGTTTAGATCTTGAATTTTTGCCAGTAGCAGTAAGTATGAGATACATGACAAGTTTGTAATTTCTATTTCACTGCATCCTTTATATATATATATATATATATATAATATATTTATATTTATTTATTTATTTAAAAGATGACTGGTAAGAGGATCTTAACCCTTGACTTGGTGTTGTCAGCACCACACTCTCCCAAGTGAGCTAACTGGCCATCCCTATATAGGGATCCGAACCCGTGGCCTTGGTGTTATCAGCACCACACTCTCCCGAGTGAGCCATGGGCTGGCCCTCAACTGCATCTTTTTTAAAAGTGGTTTTGGGCTGGCTGATTAGGTCAGCTGGTTAGAGTGCATTCTTGTAACCCCAAGACCATGAGTTTGGATCCCCCGTACTGCCTAGCCGCCAAAAAAAAAGTGAAAGTAAAAGTGGTTTCCAGTGACTTTATGTCCAAATAAGAAACAAGCATATTTCAACTGGAGAGACTTGTATCTGAACTTGCCATATCCCACACAGATCTGTCTGTATTTTTATATCTCCATAACATGGCTTAACAATACAGTATTTAGGAAGGCACTGTTCCCAAGCAGCAGTGGCATCTGGCTGCACCACAGTTACTGTGATTCACACCCAAGGGTCTGTTATGTGTGTATTGTTTATGGTGGATTCATGAAGTACAGTCTGATCCAAGTTTGACAGGATTTTTTTTAACTTTTAAAATTCATTGACACATGGTACATATGTGGCCTTGGATAAATCCATAAAGCCAAAGTTCAGTCATTTTAAGGTTTATCGTTGCAGCTGGGATATTGATGATTTTAGTAAGAGCTAACTACTAAACAATTATTCTTTTAGGTGAATGGGAGAGAATCAGAAGAAGAAAATCTCAATAAATCTGAAATAAGTCAGGTGTTTGAGATTGCACTTAAACGGAACTTGCCTGTGAATTTTGAGGTAAGCTTATTTTATATGTAGGACTTTGTATTATAAAATCCTGTTAGCATTCATCATAGAAATGATTTTTTCTCTAAATGACATTAGGATAGTATTCACAAGCCTCCAAATTTAAGATTCAAACTTTATGTTTAGCAAAGTAATGTTTATTCTCTTCTAGGAGTCCTCAACTTAGGGGCATCTGTAGATCTCTAGAGAGGCCATTGGTCTGTGAACCTCCTGAAATGGTTTGAAGGATATTGCTTCTGTTTACATGTGTATTCTGCACAGAGGGTCCATCGCTTTCATCAGTCTCAAAAGTGTCTTTACCTCCAGAATATTCAGAATCTCCTTAAATGGTCCCTAAATTCTTGTCAGAGTAATTTTGGACACAGGTCTGTCATTGTCCAGTGCCTGCCCTTAATTTACCTGCTTAATAACTTTATTTGGTGTTGGAGACTTTGTGTTCTAAAAATAATAATTAATGGGTGGTTTGTTCAAAGTGGAAAATAAGGCACATTTAGTACATTTTTCCTTCAGAGACAGCATAGTCAATCCAAATAGATTAGGAGAGGGGTAAAGGAAGATTTTTATAAAGTTTCCCATATAGTCTGACACATGGCAAATTCTTTCCTTTGATTTCCATGCTTATGGTCTGTTTCTTTCTTTTAAAAGCCTATCCGAAGTTTATTTTCTTGTAAAATACTTTAATTTTTTAGTATTTTTTGCAGTTACAGGTGACTTCTAAATTTCATACCTGGCTGTCTAAAATACATAGCCTCTCCTAATATGTGCTAGTGCCCTAAACTTGCCCCCACTTCAAATTTTCACCCTTCACCTGAGTGATGATGATTTTGGACTACAACCTGTGGTGCTTACCTGCCTGCCATGGGACGAAGGTGGGGTGGAGAGTTGTACATGGATCATGGGGCCAGCCTGTGTTCAAGGATTTCCTGTGTTCTCCTTCATTACCCCCCACCCCCCACTCATCCTTACCCCCCATTCCCCAGCAGGAAAGACCAGGTTTATAGTGTTCCACTTCCTGGAGTACAGAGCCCCTAGATGGATATAGGGCTGGTGTCTCCTCATCTGGTCCCATATCCCTCCCAGCCTTTCTCCCTCTGTTGCGGGCTGGGGGGCACCTGGGGAAGTTCTCTGGAATCAGTCCCCAGGTACCCATGTGGGCTGGATCCTTCCCAGCACCTTCTTCCTTAATAGAAGGCTGTGCTGAGGCCTCCTCTTTCCTGCTTACACATCAGCACTGCACAGCTATTGGGCTCACTAATTTTTTCCTAGCTAATTTTTTTTTTTTTTTTTTGTCTTTTGTCTTTTTGCAGTGCGCCACCGGGCCGGCCCTTTCCTAGCTATTTTTTCAACTTTTTATTTTCAAAGATTATAAACCTATGGAAAAATTGCAATAATAGGACAGTGAATATATCGTTCACTTAGATGAACCAGTGTCTAATATTTTACCACATTTGCTTTTTTTCTCTGTAAATACACATATAATTTTATTTTCCGTATTTTACTTTACTGAATCATGTGAGAGTAAGTGGCGAATATTTGACTTCTGCTATTTCAGCATGTATATCTCTTCTCCGCCCTCCCTTTACTCCCCCTTAGCATGTATCTCTTAAGAGCAAGGGCATGCATGCTCTTAAGTAACTGCAACCTAATTATTAAATACAGGAAATTTAGCATTGCTATAATACTGTTATCTAACATATATCCTATATCACATTTTGCCAGTTGCCCCAGTGATGTCCTTTATATGAACTTTTCTTGCTTCCTTCCCACCTCCATTTTTGTTTAGGTTTCATTGTTCTGGGGTCCAATACAGGTTTACTCCTTTCATTAAGTTGACCTGTCTCTTTAGTCTCTTTTAATCTGTAACACTTCCTCAGGCCTTTCCTTGTATTTCATGACATTGACATGTTTAAAGGTCAATTATTTTGTAGAATGGCCTTCATTTTGGGTGTGTCTGATTGCTTGTCCGTGATTGGATTTGTATTATGCATTTTTTGGCAGGATCACTACCAAATTGGTGTTGGTCCTTTTCAGAGCCGAACATGACGTCACTTTTTATCCCATTTTTAGTGACATTACTGTTGCCTATTGGTTTCACTTGTCTATACCAGATGTGCTCCACTGGAAGGAGACTTCCTTTTTGTTGTAGTTAATCCGTAACCTGTGTGTGGGGAGACACTTATAGGCTGTGCCCTTACAGATTTCCCCAGTGGCATCTAGTCATTGATGACTCTTGTCCGCATCCATTATCACTGATTTTCTGCATTTACAAACCAGCAGTCTACTATGAAGAAAAATTTTTCCTTTTCCCTTTTTATATTACATTGATTTATATCAGTATAGGTGCATTGCTTCTTTTTTTATTCCATTATTATCATCATTCATTTTGATATTAAAATTTCCCTTCAGGGGCTGGCCAGTTAGCTCACTCAGTAGAGTGTGGTGCTGGTAAACACGAAGGTCAGGGGTTCAGATCCCCATACAGGCCAATCGCCAATAAAACCCCAAACAAATTGCCCTTCAAACTGGGTCTTGTATTTTGACATCTCCCCATCAGTTTGTTTTTTGGGGGAAAGGTGTTTCAGGTTTCTTGAGGTACACTTTATATACGGTAAAAGTCACCCTATTTAAGTGTACAGTTCCGTGTGTTTTGATAAAAACGTATATACTGTGTAACCACCACTATGGTGAAGATATTCTATGGTCAAGAACATCTTTCACCTTATGAAGTTCTTCCTGTCCCTTAGCAGTTAGTCCCTTCCCTCCATCCTCAGCCTCTGGCAACTACTGGTCTAATTTCTTTTCTCTTTCTTAAAATTTGAAAACACATAGTGATTGTACATATTTATGGGGTACAGTTATATTTCAATGTATGTATACAATGTGTCATGATGAAATCAGAGTAATTAGCATATTCATCATTGCAAAAGTGTATCATTTCTTTGTGATGAGAGCATTTGAACTCCTCTCTTCTAGCCATTTGAGAACAGACAATAAATTATTGTTAATTATAGATGCCAAGCACTGCTGTAGACAAGAACTTATTTTTCCTATCTAGCTATGATTTCGTATCTGTTAACCAACCTCTCCCTCTCCCCACAACCCCTCTTCCCAGCCTCTAGGAACCATAGTTCTACTCTCTACTTGATTTCTGTCCCTATAGTATTGCCTTTTGTCTGGCTTCTTTAACTTAGCATAATGCAGATTTGGTGTCATGTGTTTTGTTGCATGTATCAGTTGTTTGTTCCTTTTTATTGCTGAGTAGTGTTTCATTTTATGGTGTATTAGTCAGTTTGTGTTGCTATAAACAGAATACTTGAAACTGGGTAATTTGTAAGAAGTTGTTGCATGTATCAGTTGTTTGTTCCTTTTTATTGCTGAGTAGTGTTTCATTTTACGGTGTATTAGTCAGTTTGTGTTGCTATAAACAGAATACTTGAAACTGGGTAATTTGTAAGAAAATTAAATTTATTTCTTACATTGTGGAGGCTGGGGAGTCCAAGGTCCAGGGGATGCATCTGGTGAAGGCCTTTGTCTTGGTGGGAACTCTCTCTAGAGTCCTGTGGTGACACAGGCAATCATATGGCAAGAATGGCAAGGGTGTTTTCATGTGCTCTCCTTATCAAGCTACTCCATGATAATCCATTAAGAGGGCAAGACCCTCACGATTCAGTCACCTCCTAAAGGCCCCACCTTTCAACACTGCCACATTGGGGATCAGTCTTCCACATGAGCTTTGGAAGGGACAGATGTTCAACCCATATCATATGGACATAGCACAACTTATCCATTTATCAGTTGAAGATCATTTGTATTGTTTCCAATTTTTAGTGATTATGAATAAAGCTACCATGAACATTTACATACATTCATGGAGACATTTTTATTTCTCTTGGGTAAATACTTGGGAGTGGATTTTCTGGGTTGTATGATAAATATCTTTAACTTTATAAGAAGCTGTCAAACTGTTTTCCAAACTGGATGTGTCATTGTGCATTCCACCTGCAGTGTATGAGTTTTAGTTGCTATACATCCTCGTCAACACTTGATATTGTCAGTTTTTAAAATTTTAGTAATTATAGTAGGTATGTAGTAGTATCTTGTGGCTTTAATTTGTATCTCCATGAAAACTAGTGAAAATGATCATCTTTTCATGTGCTTATTTACTATTGGTATATCTTTAGTGAAGTGTCTGCTCATATCTTTTGTCAAATTTTTGAGTGTCTTTGTATTGTTGAGTTTTGAGGGTTCTTTATATATTCTGAATACAAGTCCTTTATCAGATATGTGTTTTGTGGATATTTTCTCCCAGTCTGTGGCTTGTCTTTTTATTTTATTTTTCGACAGTGTCTTCTGAAGATAAGAAGTATTTGATTTTGGTTTGTCAGATTTTTCTTTTATATTTTATCATTGTTATGTTCTCTGTTGTTTTCTTGTGAAGTATTATAGTTTTAGCTCTTAAATTTAGGTTTATAATTCACTTCAAGTTAATTTTTATTTATACCGTGAGATAAGGGTTGAAGTTTTTTGTTTTTGTCTTTGGATGTCTAATTGTTCCTGCACCATTTATTGACAAGACAATCTTTTCCTTATTAAATCATCTTCCCACTTCTCCTCTTCAGATTTCGAGAACTTCCTTACTTTCTGATATAACAAAATGTTTTAGCCTTACTTTGAACTTTCCTTTCTTTAGCTTTGGCACCGGTGGAAATGGAAGTTTCTAATAGAAATGGCCACTCCATTCTTCCAAGGAGTCCTGGTCCTATTAATGGAGAGTGGAATTGAGAGACCAGATGAGGGGGCTAAGTATGCTTGTTGCTGCTGGGGAGTCATTGCTTCTAGGCCCTTTTAGCAGACAGAGCTAGGAAATACGTGTGTTTTTAAAATCACAAGTTTATACCTCTGGTTTCAATCCACTATCACAGGGTACTTCCTCTCTCTTCCTTATTCCATATTTGCATCTCCTTTTTCCCATAGTAAGAATCTGGCTCCCA